ATTCTTTATCAATAAAGATCAAGATTACCTTCCTGTAATTCACTGGATGAATCTAAAGGAGCAATTTGTATTTCTCTTCCATTTCAGCTTTGTGTATCAGAATAGTAAACTTGATTTTTCACAAATGCTATTTCTATTTTTTTTCTTTCTTTCTTTCAGAAATGCTAGGGTTTGAACTCAAGGCCTCGCTCTTGTTAGGCAGGTACTCTACCACTTGAGCCATGCCCCAAGCCCTTCTTCGTTTGACTGTTGAGGGGACATTGGGTGAGTTGTTAGGTTTGAATCAAAAATAGAATACCCTTCAGTTGGAATCACCATGTGCTAAAAAACCACGTGATGCTTTTCTCAAGAAACAGTTCTACTCAGCTACTTTTCTTTAGATGGGTTGCCTGCCTAAGGCTTGCCCTACTTGAACTTTGGAAGAGTCTTGTTTTTTGGTTTTGGGTTTTTTTTATTAAACTGTGGTAATACAGTTATAGCTTTATTCTTTTTATTACCAATGACTTAATAATCAAATAGTCATGTATATTCCAGCTTCTATAAGGAACATTTATTTAAAACTTGCTTATTCTTTATTTCATTTGAGGAGGATTTGTGAGTAAGATTAGCATTTGGTATGCAGGCTAAATGATAAGGGAGGCATGGACTGAGGAAAACTCAGGAATAGGTAGTTGAATGTTTCTCTGCATTGGGGTTATTAGATATCTACAGGTTCCTTCTAGAAGTCAAGCACTGTGTTCCAGTCATGCTATTTAGTTTCCTGGCTATTTTATAAAAGAATTAGAATAAAATTGGTATGACATTAGTGTCTTCACCCTCATCTCCATTCCATAGTCATAATTTAAAAGCTTTGATTATAAGATGGTTTGGAGATGTGAGGAATGCTATACAAGCAACTCATCTTTTCAAGAAAAATCTATTAAAATTTAAATTTGTCAATAAAATGACCTAGATTAATTACATCAGGAAAGGATTCTTAGGGCTGGTGGAATACTTCAGTAGTAGAGAACCTACATAGCAAGCACGAGGCCCTGAGTTCAAGCCCCAGTGCCACTAAAAAATAAAAAAGAAAGAAAGAAAAGGATTCCTAGTTGGTCAAGGTGGTATGCACCTATAGTCCCAGCTATTCAGGATGCTGAGGCAAGAAGATCACTTGAGGCCAGCCTGAAATTCTATCTCAAAAAAGAAAAAAAGGATTTCTTGTTCTATGGAAGTATAAATGAGTTTACTTAAATATTTATAGGTAACTGAGTTCTTCATAGAAGAAAAGATGGAAAGAATATTTAATGACTGGGGGGGATATAGCTCAGTGGTGAAGTATCTAGTGTGCATGAGACCCTGGGTTCCACCTCCAGCAACATACACACACACACACACACACACACACACGCACGCACGCACGCTATGAGCCAGGCATGGTGGCACACACCTGTGATCCCAGCACTGAAGAGGCTGAAGCAGGAGAGGAGGATCACAAGTTCAAGGCCAATCTAGACTACAATACAAGACCCTGTCTCAAAAGAACAACAACAACAAAAAGGGCTGGTGGAGTGGCTGAAGTGGTAGAGAACCTACCTAGCAAGTGTGAGGCCATGGGTTCAAACCCAGTACTAAAAAAAAAATTTTTTTTAATTCAAATTACATGATGATTTATCTAATATAACTAATTTCCAAATTTTAAAAATATATTTCATAAATATATGTATACTTACTAAGATTATTAATTCAGAATAGTAGGTTAACTACTAACATATGAGGAAAGCTCTAAAGTATGCAGACTATCCAATACAGGGAGCGGCTACTTCTATACTGACAAAGCTTAATCTCGTGCCAGCTGACAAAAAATGTTTGCAGGGTCAAGCTCTAGCATCGCAAGACCAGGCAAGGACTGGTGGAGTGGCTCAAGTAGTAACAGCGCCTACCTACCAAGCATGAGGCCCTGAGTTCAAACCTCCAGTGCCACAAATAAATAAATTAAAAAATAATAATACTAGGCAAAGAACAGTGGATTTGGAGCTAAGAGGCAATAAATTCATTCCTGGCATGATAAGTATCTCTGAAATTATAGTGAAAGGCATAGGGAAATGCCTTTTATAAAAGTTATAGTTCTATATACTGTTGAGCATTTTTGGCACTTCTTGCCTAGACCTTAGCTGTGAGAGTAGCACATGGATATAACAGTAAAAGATGGGCTCGAGGTATGGCTCAGGTGGTAAGAGTGTCTGCCTAGCAAGTACACAAGCCCTGAATTCAAAATAAAAGAAAAAAGAGTTAAAGCTTATGAACAAAGTTTTTTAAAAAGTACATCATGGTCCCAAGATTTGGGAGGCTGAGGCAGAAGGATCATGAGTTTGAGGCCAGCCTGGACAACATAGTGAGACCTGGCCTCAAAGACAATACCAAACAAACAGGAAAAATAAAATAAAAACATATACCATATCATAACTAAAGTAGATAATTACTGTTTTTAGCATTAATCCATTTTGCTATCAATGAAACACCAGGTTTTTAACTGTGCTTGCAATAGAGATAATCCTATTCTTCTCACTTATCTAGCTGATGAACATGGGAGAACAAAGGCCAGGAGGAACTTGCTCCCTCACAAGCTTGTGGTGAGCATGCCTTGTAAGCCTGCTGCCAAAGAGAGCTCTGCAGCCAGCCTTGGGAGTGGGCGGCATCATGTTCTGTTAGCTACTAGGGCTCAGCATTGAAAGTGCCAAGAGAATGATCAAATGAAAGGAATGTAGTGGCCCTGGACCAAGCATATTAAATTAAGCCACTTTAAAGGAAAACCTTTTTAAACCTTAAAAGAATTTTAACACCATGATAATTTGTTTATATCAGTTTAGATTAGAGAATAAGATTAAGGACATTAGAGTGAAAATCTGAGGTTTTGATTTAGTAAGCCAATTTTAGTTGGCCTCAACTTTTTCTCTCCATTGGACTTCATTTGCCTTTTTACTGAAATAGTATAGTACAGCATAGTTCTCAACAATACAGTTCTCAAATACCACCGCCTCAGTCAGTGCTGGCCACCCTCGCAGCCCTTGCTGAAACATCAGCCCCCCTTTTCCAGCTCATAAAAACCCACAGGTAGGGCTGGTAGAGTGGCTCAAGTGGTAGAGTACCTGCCTAGCAAGTGTGAGGGCCCTGAGTTCAAACTCCAGCACTGCAAAAACCAAATAAAATAAAAACACACAGATAACTAAAAAAAAAAAAAAAGAAAAAAAAACCCCACAGGTAGGTAAGGGATATCTGCTGAGTGAATTACCATTTCCTCTTTTGTTTTTAAATCTCCAGCAGATTTAATTTGCATGAAATAATAAAGAATTGTAGTTAATTAGAAGACCTCTAGGAAAGAAAAATCAAGATATTATCAGACAGTAAATAATATCAGAGAATGACTGAGTTATTCCTTTGTATTTTTGCAGTTTGAAGCTTGTTTGCACTTACACCAGTTGCTTCAAATTGAAATGTTTAGTCTTATATTAGTAGCTTTTGAGGTATTGTGTTATGTTTTGACAGATACTATCATAGAATGATTCAAAGTAGTATCCTGGATATCTTTTATTAAAGCACTAAAAAGTACTAAAACACATAGGACTGCTACCTTTCTTATTGTAATATCCTGTGTACTCAAGTTTGGCTTGCTTTTATTTTCACTGATACTTTGGCATTTCCCTTCTAATATTTCAGACAAGAATATTTCAAGGCACTTAGTTACAGCCATTGGTTTAAGAAGAAAAAGCTTAAGGCTTCATGTAGGAAGGGTCAAACAGTTAAAGGTACAGGGCTCAGTACTCATCTGGAAATCTCTTCGAAACTCCCTGGCAGTCTGCTCTACCATAAATGAAAGCACATTGCTCTGATTTCTCTCTGCCATTGACATTTGGATGGTAAGAATATTTCTCTAATTCCAGTCTTATTATCTATTCAGATACGTATGAGTAAGTGGAATGGCAGAGGGAAAGCAGTATGTTAAACTTATCTTTGCTCATCTTTTGGTTTGCTCTTTGATCTTGGATAAATCATTTAACTTGTCCAGGTCTTTAGTTTGCTCATCTCTGGCAAGGATAGGAGACCCTATCTTGAAAAAAAAAAAAAATCACAAAAAAGGGCTGGTGAAGTGGCTCAAGGTATAGGCCCTGAGTTCAAACCCAAGTACCATCAAAAAAAAAAAAAAAAAAGCTGTTAGAAAGGTTCTTGGCACATAGTAAGTCTAGCTCTTATTTAATCAGCAATATAGTTTGTCTGCCAAACTTCAATCCTTTGATTACTTGACATGTTATTTTGTTAATTCACTACTAAATGTCCCCATTTTTCTTATAGAAATTATCCATCTAATTTACAGTTATTTTTCTAAATTCCATAGATTTATTTAGACTTTCAAGATGCTCCTAAAAATTGGTTTTAAGATCAACTATGTTGGGGAAATTCAACATATCTTATACACTGTAGGAAAATCACAATGCTCATTAAGCCTCATATACTTCACACCAAACAAAAAGAAAGTCTAAGCCTATTTTAAAATGTATTCATACATAGAACCCATCTGTACTGAAATCAATTAACATCTCAAAGTTTTTAGAAAAAACTGTTCTGATACATTCCCTGTTTTCTTTTCTTCTCTGACTTAGCACTGTTTATGAAAATGTGAACTGTTGAATCTAACTTACTTTTTTTCAATTCTTCATCTCCCTGATTAGTGTCTATTTCTTTTTTTCTTTTTTTAATGGTACTGGGGCTTGAACTCAGGGCCTACACCTTGGCCACTCCACCAGCCCTCTTTTTTTGTGAAGGATTTTTTCAAGAGAGGGTCTCTCAAACTATTTGCTTGGGCTGGCTTTGAATTGCTATTCTCCTAATCTCTGCCTCCTGAGTAGCTAGGATTACAGGCTTGAGCAACTGGTGCCCAGCAATAGTGTCTATTTCAAAGAGAGTGAAATTGTACGCTTGTGTTTTTAAAGTTGAAATTTTAATTACTTTTGTTATCTCTATAGTTAACTCAGAGGAAATCATAGAGGGAAATTCTGTTGATTCATCAATCCAGCAAGTGGTGGGGAGTGGAGGCCAGAGGGTCATCACTATAGTGACTGATGGCGTTCCTCTGGGTAATATCCAAACTGCAATCCCTACTGGAGGCATTGGCCAGCCATTTATTGTAACTATGCAAAATGGACAACAAGGTAAGTTATCTCCAGTAGACAATTATTTATTAAAAGATATTTTAAGACTGTACTGGTGGCTCACGCCTATAATCCTAGCCATTCAGGAGGCAAAGATTAGGAGGATCTTGGTTTGAAGTCAGTGCCAGGCACTGGGACACCCTATCTCAAAAAATTCCATCACAAAAAAGGGCTAGTGGAGTGGCTTAAGTGGTAAGAGCACCTACCTTGCAAGCTTGAGGCCCTGAGTTCAACCCCAGTGCCACAAAAAAAAAAGAGGAAAGAAAGAAAGAAACTGCTAAGTAGGACTGGAGGTGTGGCTCAAGCAGTAGAGCACCTGCTTTGCAAGAGTGAAGCCCTGAGTTCAAATCCCGGTGCCACCAAAAAAAGAAACCCTGCTAATCTATTTTCTATAGAAATTATTATGGTGGTACCATTATACATACCTACTAATAATTTGTGGATAATCCAGTTTTTCTACATCTTCTCCAGCATTTGATATTATTATTGGTATTACCATTTTAAAATATTTTAGCCATTTTGACAGGTGTGTAGTATGTCATGTGTGTTGTGAACATGCTGGCCCTTCCCTCACATACCTATGAGAAGAGAACTACTTTAGGTAGAGTTAATGGCTAATTGCTTTCATTAGATGTTTCTCAACAATTTTATGTAAGACTTCCAGCCTTTATTTAGTGCTGGGATTGGACACAGAACTTCATGCATGTTATAAACATAAGTACTGCCACTAATCTACACTTTCAGCACTTTGGCCTTCTTTACAGAGCCAAATGTCTATACTTAAGAGACTCAAATTTGGGACTTAACTTCATGGCTCTGAGCCTACAAGTCTATACCCTTCCTTTCTGAGTCCTTCTTAGTGTCTCCTAATCCTTCCTGTACTCTGCAGGGCCATACCCTACCTGTTGATTCTAAAAATCCAAACAGATATCAAAAACAATACATCAAAGAATATAGCCAGGCACTGGTGGTTCACGCCTGTAATTCTAGCTACTCAGGAGGCAGAGATCAGGAGGATCATAGTTCAAAGCCAGCCCGGGCAAATAGTTCAAGAGACCCTGTCTCAAAAATACCCTTCACAAAAAATGACTAGTGGAGTGGCTCAAGGTATAGGCCCTGAGTTCAAACCCCAGTACTGGAGAAAAAAAGAATATATTGCACTTTGTTTTCTAGTTAAAAGCAATCAAAACCTCTTTGTTTTACTATGTATTCATCACCTCCAATTGGTGTCCTTTGGCTTGTAGTTCTAACTGTACCTGCTGGTCAGGTTGCAGAGGAGACTATAATTGAAGAGGAAGAGGAAGAAGAAGCAGAGAAGTTGCTACTGACAAAGAAACCAAGGATGGAAGAGATGACAAACAGTGTGGAGGAAAGCAAGGTAATGTTATTGTTAGCAGAGAGGAGAAAAGAACTAAAAGCCATAACTATTAAGGCCAGAACTCTTCTTCATCTTCATTTTTTGTTCTACTTTCTGGATAATCTATAATTGGGAATTCTTACCTGGTGGTGACATGGTTTACTTTATAGGAAGGCAGTGAAAGAGAGCTACTACAGCAGCAACTCCAGGAGGCCAATCGAAGAGCCCAGGAATACCGACACCAGCTCCTGAAGAAAGAGCAAGAGGCAGAACAGTACCGCCTTAAGTTGGAGGCGATGGCCCGACAGCAACCCAATGGAGTTGATTTCACCATGGTTGAAGATGTAGCTGAGGTGGATGCTGTAGTAGTGACAGAAGGAGAGGTAGAAGAAAGAGAAACAGAAGTGACTAGGTCAGGAGGGACCACAGAGTGTCATACTGGAGTTTCCATAGAAACTGTTTCATCTTAACATGCAAAGGCCACAACTTGCACTTTGTGCATCTTACTCCTTTTAAGAAGAAAATTCAGAGGGCAAATATTATATAAAAATTAAGAATGTTGGGCTAGAGGTGTGGCTCAAGTGGTAGAGTGCCTGCCTAGCAAGCATGAAGCCCGAGTTCAATCCTCAGTACTGAAAAAAAAAAAAAAAGAATGTTCTTAAGAAAAAAACTATAACAGGGTACAATATTTGAGCTTAGCAATGCTCTAATATGCAACTGGAAAATTAAAATCCATGTTTAGGGAACACTTCTTCTAAAGGACCAAAAGAATAAGGATCAGATTTCTCAGCTTACATAATTGCTTTAAGCATAGAGGTAAAAGAGTGCTGAATGTTGTGGGTTGATTGCTTTTTTTAAATAACTGAAATATCTGAAAGTTTTAAGATACTTCTAATACTCACACACCAAGAACTTTTAATAATTATGCCTGAAAATTTTCAAGTGACCTGAAAACTTACCTTACATTTATGAAACTGATTAGGAGAGAGGTTAGAAGAAGAGAAAAGAATTAGGCACTCCTATCTATCCTAAGTTAATTTCATTTGAAAAGAAATTTATGAGTTGAGCATGGTGGGTGCATACCTGTAATCCCGGCACTCAGGAGACTGAGGAGGATCATCAGTTCAAGGCCAACCTTGGCTACCTATGAAGACTCTTACCTCAAAAAAGAAAGAAAAAAATTTATGACTGTCTGATAGAGTTGTATCCATTGTGTGTCCATAGCTCAGATGCCAATTTAAAAAACTGAAATAGAGTTGGTGTCATAGCTCAGAGGTAAGAGTGAGTACCCATGGGGCCCTGGGTTGAGTCCCTAGCTCCACACATCTAAAAAAAGGAGGAAAAAAAAAATGACAACAAAAGAACCCTGAAAGCAAAATTTAAAAAACTGGAAAGAAAGCATGTTTATGTTGGAGAAGTGTTGTAAATAAAATCCAAGTTGTCCAGGCTGTATTTCCAGAATGTTGGAAAGTGGCCAAAAAGAGACATGTGGGGCTATGAAACTTTGGTCTTGAGATAAAAACTTTGTGTGGCTGGATTTTATAAAATTGAAATCAGAAGGGTGATCTGTTGTCAGAACAACTTGTTTCCAGACATTTATTTATATAAAATCAAGCTTAAGTTCTTTAATTTTATAAGACTTTTTTAATCTTTGGTGTCACTTAGGACACATGTGCTTTCTGTGGTGCTGATATTTTATATGCAGAAAAAGAGAAGGCAGTAGCAAGGAAGGTTGATAATGTATAGTTTTATTTCCATTTGGTTTCATGAGTATTGCTCTGTCTCTCTAAGCTCTGAGCCTAGTGCAGAGTTTTGTGCCTTAGAGGTGCTTAGTGTCTGTTGACAAAGGGAATAACAATTATCAGTGCCATAAAGGAACCAAAGAGTCTGACTGCTTTGTCTGACTTCCTCCTTTCTCTCCCACTATGCCTCCTCCCTCTGCCCAGAGACTTTTGGAAAGTGTTCCTTTGTATGTCAGCATGAAGTTTTTTTAAACGAAAAGGAATGTATGGACGGAGAGAGAGAGAAAGATTGAAAAGAGGTTACATAGCCGAGGTTATTGCCTTTGAAATTGGGCCCTCATCATTTTAGACTTGCTTGCTTGCTTTGTTGTAAATTAGAAGAAACCAGAGGGAGAGGAGCCAAGTAAACATTTGAATGACCGTTTAGAATATGGTTTTCTTAATTATCAATCACGGGGGAAACATGAATTTTTAATTTGGAAAAAAAAACTTAACCGTTAACATGGTTCTATTTACCTTGACTAGTGAAGTAATTTGTTGCAGTGTTCTAGAAGTGCAAAATCATTTTGGACTCAAAATAGACTGAAAATGTAATTCCCCAAAATAAATTTACCAAATGGAATTGGCTACTAGAGGTTTATAGACAAAAGCATCAGTTTGGAAATTAATCTTGGTTTCTCACTACCTTAGCTAGGTTTTCGCCATGGAACTGAGTACCCAGCACTTCCTAGATGATCAGGGATTATTTTGGGCTGTTGGGAATGACAGGGAAATGCAGTGGAACAGCCTAGGTAAGGTTAAGGGTGAAATTGTGGTATCTGCTGTCAAATTATCCTGCTCATGATTGCATTGTTTTTCTGAGTCCCTTTGGGAATCAGGTGCTAACAATACACTGCTATATGTGGCATTTCAGAGCCTTAGCTTGACTAGAGGGACCAAGCATAATTTTCGATGTCTTTTGCTTATGTTCTTAGTACATATGTTATCCCCCCGCCACTCCTCCACCACTGACAGAGTAGAAGGTAACTCTGCAGAATATATCCAAGCCCATCCACCTCATTTGTTGGGGTAGTTACTGATCAGGGATGGGGAATATTTATCCAACACTCCCTTCTAAGCATATAGAGTCTCCATTTTCAGGAGAACTCTAGAAGATATGTTCCCACTCAAAAATCTCTTAATACAGGCCATTTTATTTTTGACAATGGGGTCTCTGAGAAGGGGGTTTGTTAGAGATGAAACTGGGGTATTGAGGGGAAAAAGGGAAATGTCTGAAAGGGAGTACATAGGAAACAGGTATTAATTTTTATTTACTTAGAATAAACTGTTTACCATCCCAGAGAATGGAAGTAAGATTTGATCTCCATTTATATTGCCATGGAGAGGATGGTTGAGGTGGGATGCCTTCAAGTAGTTAGAAATTAAATATTGAAGGGTCAGACTTGGTGGTACATGCCTGTAATCCCAGCACTCTGGAGGCTGAAGCAAGAAGATCAAGATTTAGAGGTCAGCCAGGCACCTGTGGTTTATACCTCTAATCCTAGCTACTTGGGAGGCAGAGATCAGGAAGATCAAAGTTTAAAGCCAGCCTGGACAAATAGTTCAATGAGACCCTATCTGGAAAATATCCAACACAATAAAGGGCTGGTGGAGTGGCTCAGGTGGTAGAAAGCATGAGATCCTGAGTTCAAACACCAGTACCACCAAAAAAAAAAAAAAAAAAACAAAACTAAATAGACAAGTGTTCCAGTGTCCAGAGTTGATGCTTGGACAGAAGAAACTGGAGTTTAGGATGGATGTCTACTTTAAAATAAAACTGCTTTAGCAATATCAGGATTAATACTAGGAATTTTGACCCTACATTTACATTTTGGTCTTAAGCCTTTCCCCAAAAACAAGGAAAAAAAGAATTTTAATACTTCTGTGCTTGTCCCTAGTTTCAGGGAGATTAGTTATGTCAATGTATAAATGTCCGTTCCCTTCCCATTCCTACCTCTGTGAGAGCTCTTAATTGTAACACTGAAGTTACCTTGATTGAGATCTGAAAGATCTTGGCTTTAGGGTTTTTGTTTCGAATTCAGTGCCTTTAAAAGATGGTCTTTTTTCTTGTCACATATATATTTAGTTATTTTTTTACTTTGCATTTCCCTCTTCTTCAGACTTACTATTGTATTATTTAAATTTTTGTGCCTGCTTAGTAATGTTAGAAATCTGTGGCATACACATCGATTTTTCTTTATATTGATGTAAAAGAAACAAATTTACCAGATGACTCTCTAGCTAAAGTTAGAGATTATATGACCAGCTCATTTTTATATGTTTTTGCTGGGGGTATGTTAGTGTATATGTTTGTAAATACATATGAATTTTCCCACTTTTCTCTTTGTTTATTTGAAGTTCAGCTCTAAATTACCTGGTATAACCTGGAAATTTTTAATCTCATTAAACATATAGAGAGGGGTTTTGGAGGCACTGAATGGATGGAGGAAGAAAAAGCATTACTTTGCCCTTCTCTGACTGGCAGGAAAGAGAAACCCAGGAGGTAAGGCCCCAGGGAGAGCCAGTATATGGCTTTAAAGGGAATTGTTGCCGGGCACTGGTGGCTCATGCCTGTAATCCTAGCGTCTCAGGAGGTAGAGATCACAAGGATCATGGTTTGAGGTTAGCCTGGGCAAATAGGTTTTGAGACCCTATCTCAAAAATACCCAACACAAAAAAGGGCTGGCACGTGTGAGGCCCTGACTTAAAACCCCAACACTGCAAAAATAAATAAATAAAAATGTTTAGCAAACAATGTGATGACATCATCAAAGCAGTGTCAGGGATAGAGAGGGAGCTGCCTTCCCTTTCACTCCTGTGGAAACTAGACACAAAATCCCTTATACCTCTGAACAGGAAAGAAACCCCAGATACAGACAGGGACTATGAATAGACATTCTATATATCTGCTTTCCTGGTTCAAATCTCATCATTTTGAGAAATGATGTTCATTTTGAGAAAGCTCTGTTGCAGTCTCCTAACATTAGAGTCCTCCAGAGGGAAAAGATTTAAGGCATTTAGTGAGCCTTACTGTGAGTAGAAATCAGTTTTCCCCCAGTTTATTGGAGAATGACTTGCTATTCTCTACTCCTTGTGCAGACCAGAATGGAATACATGTCAAGGTCACCCATATGCACTTTAGGCTCTTATCTATCTCCATTTTATGTGCTGATTCTTTCCCCCTTCTGAGTTAGTACTTTATTTCCTATGCCAATATATTTAACAAGAAACCAGGAGTGGGCTGGTGGAGTGGCTCAAGTGGTAGAGTGCCTGCCTGGCAAGAGTTTGAACCCCAGTACCACAATTGTAAAAAAAAAAAAAAAAAGGTTTAAGAGACCAGGAGTGAGAAGGATGAGAATTAGAATTCAATAGGATTGAGCCTCTGGTGCTGCCCTGTTTTTCTTTTTTTTTTTTAAAGCCTCTCTAGGATTAGGGGGTAGGGTGACATTCCTGGACTCTGCTGTAGCAATTTGGCTTGTTAATAGCAGGAAATTGTGATTCCCTATCTTTCTCTCCTTTCCCCTCACCCCACCACTTCTGCTTCTGTGATCCCATTGTTCTTATCTCATTTAGGCTTTCCCAGGCACTGGAACTTAATTAGTAGGTCATTTCTAACCCATGGGTCTTATCATTTCTCTCTCCACTCCCCTTCTTCCCTACTACATAGTTTGTTTATTCTGAGGTGATTTGTTTTTGAGAATTAATCAAGGTCACACCCTCTATTTGTGCTTCTCAGTTGGTTTTCAGCATCTTGCTCTGTCAACAATAATGGTAGCAATTCTGTACCCTGGCTTTGGCCAAGGCCAAGGCTATGGCAGGGGGAGGGCAGTTGCCCCTGGATTCCTTTCATAATTTCTCAGTTTTTCAGGTTATATGACAGCTTTATGTACAGTAATTTTTTAGGAAAACCCTTCTTTTTTTTAAGGATAAAATGGATTTGGATTCTGATGAGCAAACTTGTGTGTGACTGAGCATTTATGTATGTACATATATCTATCTATACAGATCTATATTATATATTATAAATACAATTTTTGTACTATCATTTAAAATAAAGAGGTTTCTTAATAAAATGTGTCATTGGCTTATTTTTCATCATCACTTAGGCAAAAATCATATGTACACTGATCCTGTTCATACCCTCTGCCTTTTCCTCATCTCACTACCCCTCAGCCTGGCACTCTTGATAGGCAGAGCAAGGTGAGGCAAGAACTGAAATGAGAATGGAGGAGCTTTTGACTGGCTTGTTAAATGAATATTTTCCTCCCTCCCTCTTCTGTCACCCCTTTCTCTAAAAGCAAACAACTAAGATAAGAGAACCGTAGCTGAAGTAAAATGTTCTGTCTTGTGTGGGAGTCAGTGCTGAGATACAGGGCAGAAAATATCAGGCTTAGAAAGGCTTGGAAAGAGTGGATTTGCTCTGCTGGCTTCTCAGTTATTCTTCGTTAATAAGGTGTTGCTCTCTCAGTCCAAATTCAGCACACATTTACTAAGTAAATATAAGGAGCAGTCTAGTAATAGCACAATCCCATAGATAGCCAAGATTGAGTGGAATGATTTGGCTAGCTGGAGGGTGTCCTCCTCTAGAGTGTATGGTGTTCTCAAGAGTTGTTCCATTGGCAATAAGAATTTTTTTTTTTAAGCAATTTGGCAGATAATAAGGATGCTTTAAAAAAAAAAAAAAAGGATGATGAAACCAAGACCAAGGACATATAAATATCTGCATTCAACAATGAGAATCTCTGGGCAAGCTCTCAAAGTCATTATTTAGGAAACTAAACACCTACCATGTTCTAAACTACATAGGTAAATTGCTTTTTGGTAAATATATATAGTCAATAAGTGCCATGCAAATGTTAATTACAAGATACTTCTGGCAGGCAGGTACCAGAACTGCCTGTGTGTGTGTGTATATATATATATATATATATATATATATATATATAAAATCCTTGTGCTGAAAGAAAAAGGCCAGGAACTTGAGGAAGAAAGAACTAAGTAGTTGATTTCAAACCCTGGTGAGAGGCTTCACCAGGAAGACAGGGAGGTTAATAGGAACTGGAGAGCTCAAAACCTAGAGTTCTCTGCTGAATTTTTTTGTGTGTTTTATATATATATATATATATTGGTGGTGGTACTGGAGTTTGAACTCAGAGCCTTGTGCTTGCCAGGCAGGCACTCTTCCACTTAAGCCACTCCTCCAGCCTGTGATATTCTTCAATCATGGGAAAAACATGAATGAGGGCAGCTTTCCTAAGATTTTCTTTCTCTGTGAATGAGATCTCTGTACTCCCAGGAGGTCACTAGGTAGAAAACACAGAAGATTGACATGAAAGCAATCTGGAAATAACTACACTTATAAATGTTTTGTGCAAGACATCTACTAGATATGGGCAAATTAAGATTATAGGGGACCACTGAACAAAGTGTGAGGCTACACTCTGACCCTATAACTAGTCTTGAAGTTTAAGAAAGATTCTTATTTTTAAAAGTGATGTTGGACTAGGAGTATGGTTGGTACAGTTCTTGCCTAGCAAGCGGGATTCCCAGAGTTCAATCCCAGTACCACCAAAAAAAAAAAAAAAACCAGAAAAGTGATGATTCGTTAAACTTTTGCTACATGTCTGGGCAATAAAATAAATCTCTCTCTTGCAAGGTATTACCCTTATACAATTGCAAAACCAAGTTGTGTCTTTGCTCAGTCATACAACTTCAAGCTGCCAATGATTCACACCTGTACTCATAGCTACTCAGAAAGCCAGAGATCAAAAGGATCTCTATTTGAAGCCAGCCTGGGCAAACAGTTCTTGAGACTGTATCTTAAAAATATCCAACACACACATACACACAAACACAGGGGCTGGGCAGAGTGGCTCAAGTGGTAGAGTGCCTGCCTAGCAAGTGTGAAGCCAAGTTCAAACCCCAGGGCCACCAAAAAAATAATAGCCCTTCATCATTTTGAGCATGTCATCTGTTTCCTGTTGGAACCCTGTCTAATATCCCTGATAAAGGTAGGTGATCATTTGAATTCATAGGCTTCATATTTTATCCAGGTACTTGAACCTTGCTCTCACGTGTATAACCTTAAACTCTTACAAGCTAACAGATCTGAAGGGTGAACTACTGGACTAAGTAGCAGAGTGACTCATATCTGGCTCATTTTGACTGGCTTGTTAAATGAATATTTTCCTCCCTCCTCTCTTCCAAGTATGGGATGATGGCATCAAGGAACAACAAATCTGAGACAGTAATAGCTCAGGCCCTTGTGACTTAGCCCCCAAAGAAACCAAGATGTTTAACAGCTTTTCCAGCCCTGTGACTGTGCAACTTTTTGTGTTTCAGGTCCCCAAAGCCTTATACAAGCTGATGGACTCTGCCTGCTGGGGCCCTCGTTTCTCCATAACCTGCTAGGAGGCCTCTGAGAAATCAGAAATCCCCAAGGATAATGACTCTATCCTCCTGTTGGTGCATCCTGGGTTTTCTTTATTTTCAGTACTAGGGATTGAACTCAGCGCCTTCACCTTAAACTACTCCACTAGCCCTGTTTTTGTGAAGGGTTTTCTGAGATAGGGTCTCACAAACTATTAGCCCAGGTTGGCTTTGAACTGCAGTCTTCCAGATCGCTGCCTCCTGAGTAACTAGGAGTACAGGCGTGAGCCACTGATGCCCAGCCTTTTAGTTTGTTTTTGAGGTAGGGTCTCTAGCTAATTTTGCTGGGGCTGACCTGGAACCCAGATCCTTCTACCTCCACCTCCTGAGTAGCTGGGTTATGCCCAGCTGCTTTGGTATTGCAGTTTGAACTTAGGGCCTTGCATTTGCTAGGCAGGCACTCTACCACTTAAGCCACACTGCAGTAACACATTCTGTTTTTTCTAAAAGCAAAGTTTGAGCTAATTTTTGTATTTGGGGGTTTGAACTCAGGGTTTTGCACTTATTAGCCAGGGGAGCCATTCCCTACCGCTTAAGCTATGTCTCCAGCCCAGAGCTAATATTTTGATTTTTAAAAACTGTCAGCAGGGCTGGCTGAGTGGCTCAAGTGAAAGAGTGTCTGTCTAGCAAGCATGAGGCCCTGAGTTCAACCCCTAGTACTGGACAAAAAAAAGAAACAGATTCCTGAGGACATATTTATCCCAATGTCATCAACAATTTTTCAAAGTCATCCCCTTTGTTATTCACTATTATAATTTGTCAAGAAGTGTATCTCATGAATAATAATGAATTGTATACTTGGTAGTGGCCTACTTTATTTGAGGCAGATAACTTTCCCACAAAGCAATTTTTTTTTTTAAGACAGGGTCTCAAAATCCTTTTTACTATCTGGGAGTAAGGCATGCACCACCACATCTGGCTCAAGTACTTAGGGTTTTGTTGGATTTATTTTTTTCTTTGTAGCCCTGAAATTTGAACTCAGGCCACGCAGCCAGCCCGCCCTAGGGTTCTGTTTTGCTGTGTGGGCAGTGGAACTCAAGAGCCTTGCACATCCCCAGCCCAAAGCACTTAAGCCCACATATTTATATGGTGTTTTACAAACCTCTATTAGCATATGTTCTTTCCATGCCTACAGAAGAAACTGAGGCTAGGAGAGGTTTGGTGAATTATTAAGGTCACATACAAAGCAAATAGTAGGGCCCAAGGACTGCTGTTCTCACTACAACTTACTTGCTTCTATTAACCTGAGAATTTAGCTTAGACCTATTGGCAAGTCACTATACTCATACACACTAATACATGAACATCCTTTATAGTTAAAACTACAACCTGGACTTTAAACATGTAAGTTGCTGCTGCCTGCAAAAAAAATCACAAGATCAAATTTCCCTTCTATGTATAGTTGCCCCTCCATATCTGTGGGTTTCAGATCTATGGATTCAATCAACCACAGACTGAAAATATTTGGACATGGCAGGACGCTGGTGGCTCACATCTGTAATCCTAGCTACTCAGAAGGCAGAGATCAGGAGGATCGTGGTTCGAAGCCAGGCTGGAGGCAGCCTGGACAACTAGTTCACAAGGCTCTATCTCAAAAAAATCCATCACAAAAAAGGGCTGGTGGAGTGGCAAAAAAAAAAAAAAAAAAGTGCCAAGCAAAAAGAGGTTAAATTCTAGAGGACAAGCAAATTTGACCAAACTTAACAGATTTGAGGAACTCCAGGACATTTAAAAACTTTGAGGGAGATGGCAGAGCACTTGCCTAGCAAGCACCAGACCCTGAGTTCAAAACGCAGTACCGAAAGGAATAAATAAAAACTTTGAGAAGGAAATCTATAAATGAAATTTGTAAGGATACAAAGAGAAACTGTTACCTAGTAAAAGCAGATCGAAAAATTAGGAATAGCCTAAACATGAGTTTGGAGGAGCCAGTATCTCATGCTTTCTCCTTTACAAAGCGTTTGCACATTATAGTACTTGAGCAATCCTATTATTTCAGAGGAGGAAACGAGGCTTAGGGCAGAGTTACGATCTCCAATAGTAAAGGGTGGAGAGGCAGAAACAATCTCCAGCTTCTTCGCGCAGTTGTTCTCAGCAGTTCCCCCATCAAGAACACTGAAGCTACAGGAGAGAGGAGCTGGGATTTCCCTAGCTGCAGGACTTGGCCCGACCTCCAGGAGGCGCCAACGGCAGCTGGCCTACGGCTCCAACTGGGCGGATACTCCCGCCACGCGCCGGCGAAAAATTGGACTTGGAAATCCGCCAGCGCAGGCACCGCCTGCGCCAGGCCTTAAGCATCTTTAGTGCCAGGGCGGTGGGCGGGGCAGTTGGTCCCGTCGTCCCTCCCATTGGTACCCAGAGTAATGAACAGGTATCCATAGCCAGCAACAACCCGAGTAATGGAGCATCACGACAGGCACACGCTCGCTGATCGGCAGCGCGCCGGGCTCCACTGCGGCCCCGAGGCTCCTAGCGGGGCGGGGACGACTGCGCATGCGTGTAATGAAATACTCGCTCTCTACACCCCCTACCACCACCTAAAGAGGAACTGCTCCGGCAAATCTTTTGCAGATGTTCGCAGCCTACTCAAAGCGACTCAAACTCTTCTAGCCCAGTCCTCTTTAGGACAAGATTTCCTGATGTGAAACTCAAATCACACTGCAGCTTCATTTTATTTCTCCAAATGCTTCCTCCCCCTCCCCGTAGAATAAGCCAGGAAAAAGTCCCTTGCCTCAATTCAGAAACTTACCCTGCGAGCCTCCCCGAACCCCACCTAAACTCTTTCGCCGGTCTCCTGGGCCCTGGCTCATCCCCACGCACCATTTCTTCGCTTACTTCCTTCAGAAAACCTTTGCTGATTAACCCCGGTGGGACTGCAGACATCCAATTACTCCGGAGAGCGCTGAGGGCCAATATGAAGGCGGAGAGAATCGGGGGCAAAGGCGCCTAGAGCGAGAGCCGCCCGGCTCTTGCCCTCCCCTCCCCCACCGCGAGGAAAGTCAGGCAGCGGCTCGGGGACACAGCTGTATTGGGAAGCGGAGGCTCCTACATGGTAGGAGGAGGCACATCCCAGTCCCAGGAGGCCCGAGAACTCTGTACACAACGCGCGCGTGACCCCAGCCCCGTCCGCCCGCCCGCCCGCCATGCGGCCCGCCCGGGGCCCAGTCCGTGGAGGAAGCCCGGAGGAGCGAGTTAAGGCAGCTTGGCTGGAAGGGAGGGAGGAGTGGGAGTCGGCCAGGTCCCCCTGAAATGCTGGCTCACTGAGGGGACCAGCTTCTCACCTCCCACTCCCCTCTCGAGGACAGGGGGAAAGACAGTCAATAAATAAGCCCGAGGCGAGAAGGGACCCCGGGACGCAGCGTCCAGGAAGGCTGGAGGTGCGGAACGAGAGGGCGGTGATCTTCCTTGGAGAAGCGTCAAACTCACGGCCTTGGAGGGTGCGGGCCCCACGTGAGGCCGTGGAGCAGCTCCCTTTAAAAGTTAAAATGGCTGCCATTAGGGACGGCCTGGTGGGAAGCTCCGACGAGGGGAGGCTTTGGGGACAACGGGGATTTATTGACGTCCACCCTCTTCAGGGAGCGGCCACGGTAGCCTTCGGGTCGGCCCAGATACAGGAGGTGCCTCCCCGGTCCCCCGGAGTACCTGGAGGGTCCTCCCGAGGGGACTCGGGTGAGCAGGGCAGGGGGCGTACGATGGGTGGGGAAGGGCAGCCGTCGGGTTCCCCCGACCCCCAGCCGGGGAGCCGGGGCGGAGAGCGCGGGCCGCGCGGTGGGAGCCGCGCACTTGCTCTCGGGGGGCACGTCCAGCCTCAGAGGCGGCGCGCATTCCCGGGGGAGCCCACTGGAGTCAGCGAATAAGGTGGGGCCGGGGACCGGCTCCGGCGGGAGCGCCCGCGAGGTAAACGGGGCCGGGGAAGTGTCGGCACCCTTCCGGAGCTGCTGCGGGCCGTGCAGGTAGCGCAGCAGTTCTTCCAGGGTGGTGACCTCCACCGCCTGCCCCGGGCAGCCTGGCGGCGGCGGCCTCACCAACACGCGCGGTGCGGGCCCGCCCGCCGCGTTGCCGCCCCGCGCGCGGCCCGGGCCCTCCTTGGCATTGTTCCCGTTCTGGTTCCACTCCCAGGGACCCCCGCTGGCGCGGAGGTGCTTGACCGGCAGCTCGGGCGTGGACTCCGGGGTGGGCAGGCAGGCCAGCTCCGGCGGGGGTCCGGCCTCTGGGGGAGGCAGGAAGGTAGTGTAGAGCTGTGGCGTCTGCGCCGCGTCTCCGTCCTTGGACGGCGGCGGTGGCTCTGGGCAGCCACCGTGCAGTCGGGCCAGACTGCGAAGGGAGAGAGGGCGCGGGAGCCCTGGGGTTTCGATGTCCTTGCTTCGACGTCGGTGTGCATGGCGACAAGCACAGGAGACCAGGAGGCCAGAGACTGAGGCGCCCAGGGCGAAGGCTGCAGCCACACTGGCCAGGAGGAGTGGGATGGGGACAGAGCGGGAGGCCGAGGCTGGGGCTAGGTCCCTGCGCACGCCTGCTGACCGAGAGGGAGGAGGGAGGCTCAGCCTGGGAAAGGCGGTGCAGGATGCTGCTGGGCCTAGAGGGCAAGTTTCGAGGTCTAACACCTCTTCTGCTGCCCTCCTTACAGCCTTGACCTTCCATCAAGGGATTCAACTTTCCTGACCCATCAACACACCACCCAGCGCAGTTCCTCTCACACACAGGCTAGAGCATGAGTCTGGGGCATCCCCAGCCCAGTTCTGGCCTCCTGTAGCCATGCCCAGAACAACTGCCAAACTGCCCGTGCAGAAGTAAGATGGCTGGGATGCCGTGCTCTGGAGAGAGGAGGCTCCAAACAGGCATTAGTTAGTGAGCACTCAACACCAGTCAGCACCAGGCTTAGAATTCTCCAAGAATCAGCAGCCCCACACTTCACTCCTGTCCCTCCCAGACAGCCCCCTTACCCTGAGTGTGAGCTCCAAGAGTGGAAGACTGGGGCCCAGAATGGGCATCACTGGGGGGACTGGGGGTCTCAAGGGAAGGGCCAGGACCCAGAAGCACTAGTGACAGAGACCAGGTCAGAGCCAGTGAGGCTCCTGCTCTCTGCCCCTGACACCCACTCAGGAGTCCTCCCCACCCCTTTTTGGAACCCAAGAGTCCAGAACTGCAGTCTCTACTTTCCCCTGGGCGTGGAAGGGTTCACCATGCAGGACATTCTTTCATTTATTTGTTTAAATACTATTTATTAAGCACCCTACTGTGTGCTGGGCACTGAGTATGTTAGGTATCCTTTCTGAGACTCAGAGTGCTCAGGGTGCTGATCTGCTTCTGCCCACTGGCACAGACTTGGGTGTGGGACGCATCAAGGGAAAGAGAAGCTGGGACAAGCTGACTCACCATAAGCAGAATCCCCAGGACCAGACTGACTCCCAGTAGCTCCATCTATGTAAAAGACAAGAGTGAAGATGGAGACAGAAGGAAGCTTCATGAATAACTGATGTAGATGACTGTGCCACAGAAGGCAAAAAAGACAAAAGTGCAAATATGGGATGCCATCTGTGGCCATCACAGCCATGAGCAGCTCTGACTGCCTTTCTGTTTACCTTGGCAGTCACCATGCTCCAAGGACTCCTGGTTCCCAGCCTGGTCCACATCAGCCCTAGGGGAAAAAAGGCTTGTCTCAGTGCAGTTCATACCCACCTCCTACCCCTGCCCTGGCTTGCTTTCTTAGTTGTGGAGAATGTTATTCTCAGGAAATCCAGGGGCCCCTCACTTACCCACCAGGTCCCCTGATATCCATGCAGCCTCTGGAGCTATGCCATCCACAGTAAGGGTCCTGAGAAGCCAGACAGCTCCTAGGGGAAAAATGAGTCATGTGAGGCTGGGACCCCCACCCCCGACTCCAGTCACATTCCTTTTCTACTTTCACCCTGGATTACAGGAAGCTCTCAACCTCATATTCCCATCCCATCCATCTCAGTCTCTACTCCAGATCCTGGTTGCTGCTCACCTTCAGAATGCCCAAGGTACCCTTCACTCTAACCAATCCCTCACATTTCTCTGCCACCTGGTACACCTGTGGATCTTTCTGTGCTCCTGCTGGCTCGGGAAGCTTGGCCAGGTAGCACCTGGCCTCAGGCCCTTCTCACCTCTGACAGGCCCCATGCCGGGCACAACGGCTGAGAGGGAGGTAGACGATACAGCCAGAAAAGGCCACAAAAAGCCTGTGACCCTCAGTGTCCAACTCCAGCCCTATGATCCGTCGTGCCATTTGGGCTGCCCGCTTCCCACTGCACCTAGGGTGAGGCCGGAAGGAATCAGAATGTGGCAGGAGAGGCTACCTTTTCCCCTGAGAGTACTGATGAACAGGAGGGGAGGTATACAAGCTATGGAGGACAACCCATGGGATCACCCTGCACAGCACACTGTCAGGCCTTCTCATCAGCCCCTTTCTCTACCCCCCACACAGCTCCTGCCCCAGCAAAGCCATCATTGGTGTTCCCGACCCATTCCCACATTCCCATCTGCCATCTCCCAGCCTAACTCTGCCCTACAGGGGTTGCCCTCCAAAGGCTCACCGGGAGGGGCTGTAGGCATCAATCTCTTCCAATATGATGGGCTCAGATCCCCCAGATTGCCTCCCTGGGGGCAGCACTTCAGTACTGTACCATCATTGGAGCCAAGGAACAGGACGGTGATGTTACTGTGAGGACCAGCCATGCCGTCCACAGCTACCTGGGTCAGTAGCGCCCTGGAGCAATAGACCTTTGGTGAGGGCAACCTGTCTAGTTAAAGCTTGAGCATTTTAAGGAGAGTTCAGGTCCTGGTTCCCACTCTTGCGTCCTTCTACCACACTCCAGGTCCCTTCTTAGGTCTTTCCCTCTACCTTCATGAGTTTTTCCTCCCACCAATGTGAGTTGTGGGGGTCAGAGAAAGAAGAATAGCTGAAGGAAGGAGACTGTGGTCAGTGTTTCATGGCCCCTACCTGCTAGTGAGAGTTAGGAGAGGCTGATGGGTGGCAGGTGGCACAGCAGGGTCCAGCAGAGGGTGAGCCTTGATGAAGATCAGGACATCATCAGGAAGGTCTTGAGATGAGGAGAACAAGGCAGCTCCGCCCACACCTGCACAGGACCCTGGCCTGGTGAGCACATAGGAAAGGGCCACCTTAGGGCAGGGAGCCAGGGTTTATTTAGGCGTATCCCCACAGTGGTCTTACACATCATGACCCCGCCCCCTCCACAGAGATACTCACACCACCACTCCCCTTCCCTATTGCAATTTTACTGCCAACCCACTACAGCCTTCTCCACAGGTCTTGACCACCCTATTCCTCCTCTCAAACCCACACCACTTGCTTCTGCCCCCACAAAAGTCACCCCCATCCTGAGTACCTGGGTAAGGGGACCCTGTCCTCAGACACAGGGGTCCAGGCCCCATCCAGACTCCTCTGCTCCTTGAACTTGCCCTCAAACCCATGCTCAATATCATCCAGGTAGAAGGCACAGACTGCAGAGCCAGGGATGCTGAGGGAGCCAGAAAAGATGCAGGACAGATGCTGAAAGGAACTCACAGCTCCTGCCAGGTGAGAAGTGGTAGCTACCCTTCATGCACCATATGAAGAGGCAGAGACTGAGGCGGGGCAGCCAATGGGTGCCATGCTAGGAGAAAAAAAGGTGGGCAGACAGCAAACTAGCTTTGTTTGGAGTGTCCCCTCACTGACCCAATCTGTAAACTTTGAGAGGGGAGTTTGGATGTTGGCAGGGCAAGGGACAGACTGGGTACACTAGTAAGCCTAGTACCTACCTATTGGTCTGGGTGGTGAAGACCCCGAAGAGAGCAGAGCGGCCATGTAAGTTCACAGGCCCAGTCAAGGCCTGTAAGACATCGAAGTAGAAGGTAGAGTCCCCGGGGACAGAGCAGTTGAGCCGAAGTTTCAGGAATGATGTCCAGTGGCGGTCCAAGGCCCGAGGTGAGCCACCCATGTCACGTTTACACACCCGGGCTACCCGGGAGAACTGCACCTGAGGGAAGAGAATAGTGGAGAGAGCCAAGGGGCTGAGAGGAATGTGGTGAGTTAGGGTACCATGTTAGCATAGTGAAGCCCACCAAACATAGTTTGATAAAGGAAGGGGAACTAAGGGAATATAATAGAGGGGTAAGCTTATTCAAAGTACACTGTACGCATCTATAGGATTATCAACATGAAACCCCTTTGTAGTATATATGCTAGTAAAAATTAGTTAAAAACTGGGCTCAAGTAGTAAAGAAAGGCCCTGGGTCCAACCCCAAGTACCACACACACACACACACACACACACACACACACACACACACACACAAAAAGAAAGAAAGAAAAGCACCATGCTAAGAGACAAATGTTAAGTTTCAGATGTGGGGGCAGAGCTGGGGAACACTCAAGAGTTGAGGCTTGGAGTCCAGGGGATTGTGTTATGAAGATTAGGGTGAAGAGCTTTCCCCAGACTCAAACTGGCTCCTCAGGAACTCCTGCAGAACCCTCCAGTTACCCACCTCCAGTGCCCACCTCCTTACCCTCCCCAGCCGGGCATCCTCCACAGAGACCTCTCGGAAGAAGAAGTAGACATGGTCTCCATGCTCCAAGGCATGGACAAAGTGTGGCTCTAGGTGGATATGAAAGGGTACGGAAAATCATTTGTACCTGCTCAGAAACTCCTGGTCCCGCACCCCCTCCCATTGCGTACATGAACATGCCACCACACCATCTGCCTGCCCCCCACCCCAAAGTCCTCCCTCTGCACCTCCTCCCCAGGAACAGTGTCTCTCCCCCAGGCCCGCCTGACCTCGGAGCCACTTGGAGTCATACTTGGCGGAGCGAAGTGGGGGCTGAGGCCCAAGGCTTCTGTAAACTACAGCATCACTGGCCTGGAAATCCGCAGCTGTAGCTGAGTACAGGCTACCCTCTGGAGGGATGGGTCGGTGGGGTCAGGGGAGGGCTTGGGGATCTGTATTCTGCCTCTTATTGGGCCACCCATTCTCCTACCTAGGCCTGGCCCTTCCCCCTACCTCAACCCTCCACCCAGGGACACAGGAGAAAGACCAAGTTGGTAGAGGAGCTAGGGTGGGAACTCCCTCCAGCCACAAGCCTGCTTCTCATATGCCCTAGTGCACACCTGCAAAGATGGCCACATTGGACTGGGTGGCATCAAAGGGACATCGAGCCTGCCCACTCAGCTCCTCACCCTCCTGTTGCAGCGAAGTTATCTGGGGGCAGAGGAAGGAGGTTCCTGGAACCCTGGAGTCTTGGAGTCTGGCTCCGCAGCCCACTCCCTCCTGCCCCCTTGCCTCCTTCCCCAACCCCTCTGGATCCTTGCATTCCTGACCCCAGATCCTACTCCCTTCCCATCAAACTGATTGCTCATCTTGGGTTCTTCTCCCAACCCTGTTCTGCCCCCCTCCTCCTTTGTACCCCATAGCTGCGGCACACAGGGCTGAATGAATTTGTTCCGCAGGCCAGGAGTGTCTGGGAGTCCCAAGGAATGAGGACACGAATGTAGTTGTAGCACTCGTCCTAGAGAACCCGAAATTCTAGGTTAGTGATAGAGGACCCCTGTATTGGGATTAGGGGTCACAGGAAGTAAGGTTACTACCCTTGAACCAGTTACAGCAATGTGGGATAAAGTCAAAACTAAGCTATTTGTGAGCCCTGTGGCCTCAGGCAAGTCCTTTGGCCTCTCTGAGCCTCATTTGCTTCTTCTTTTTTTTTTTTTCTTTGCAGTACTGGAGTTTGAACTCAAGGCCTACATCTTGAGACACTCCACCAGCTTTTTTTGTGAAGAGCTTTTTTTGAGTCAGGGTCTCGAGAACTATTTGTTCAGGCTGGCTTCGATCCCCAATCCTCCTGATCTCTGCCTCCTGAATAGCTAGGATTACAGGTGTGACCCACAGGCGCCCGACTTGAGCCTCACTTTTCTTTTTTCTGAGGCGTATAAAGGGAACTAAAAAGTATAAGTTCTTTTTCCTTCCCACTGTGCTCTGTGGGCTGGGATGGAAAAGTGGGTAAGAACTTGGCCATGGAAGAGGACCCTTGGGCAGAAGCTGGAGGCAGGGAAGCTGCTCCTTCCCTCCAGTTATCCCTCCATTCCTCACCGTCAGCTTCCCCCGTACAGCACAGTTTTCCATATCTTGGCTCCTCCATGTTAGATACTGAAGGGAGAAATAGAAGAGGGAAAACTGTGAGCCAACCTGGACCCTTCTTCACATTGTAGTGCCTTTCAGATTCTTCTTCCACACATGTGGCGCCCATCAGACTCTTTCCCAGCCTCTTCCCCATGTCTGCACCTCCTCCCACACAGCCTCTTACCTTGTTGGGCACCAGCCCCTCCCCTTCTTCTTGGCCTTGAAGATCGAAGGAGAAAACATGATCCCTGACGGGATAGTAAGGAGGGATCAGAGTGAAGCCAAGGCACCTCACCCGAGCTCCTTAGCCCCCACCTTACCCACAGTCACCTGCTCAGGGACAACCACACAGACTTCCTACCCCCTAGCCTCCCCTTCACTCCATGCCTTGGCATTTGTGCTCTGCGTCCAAGCATGTCCATGTCCCATGGCTTGTGCACCTGCATGTGTCCCCTGCAAGATGCTGCAGTGGCCATGCAGGTCCCATGTCTGCCCAGGAGCATGCATGTCTGCCCCACAACTGTGCCTCGGCCAGTTTACCGGGCAGCCACTAGCAAGGTCCGGTTCAAGGTCAGGAATCTCTGAAAGTCCAGCCCAAGTTCTGCAGCAACAGCATCATCCTCCAGGCCCCGGAACCAGGATAATGGAGAAGTACCTAGAGGCACAGAGAGGTGGAGTACTGAGGGCAGCCGGCATACTACCCTCAACCCACCTCCCTCTCCAACCACATGAAACCTAGCCAGGGACAGAGTAGAGATGTGAAGTAAGGCCATTAGCAAAAATAATACCAATAGCATGGAGTACTTAATCTCTGCCAAGCACTGAGTTAGAATTTTATTTATTTTTTTGGCAGCACTGGGGTTTGAATTCAGGGGCTCAAACTTGCTAGACAGGCATTCTTACCGCTTGAGCCACTCTACCAGCCCTTTTTTGTGAAGGGATTTTTCAAGATAGAGCTCCTGAACTATTTGCCCAGGCTGGCTTTCAACTGTGATCTTCCTGATCTCTGCCTCCTAGATAACTAGGATACAGACATGAGCCACTGGCACCCAGCTGTATTGTCTCATTTAATACATCAACTTTCTGAACTAGGCACTCAACATTGGCCCTATTTCACAGATGAGGAGCCTGAATCTCAGGACAATAAAAGATTTACATGAGCTCATTTAGCTTGGAAGTGGTAGGCACCAGGATTTAGATCAAGGTCTGTCTGACTTCAGAGCTAAGCCCAGTTTCTTCTTGGGACAACAAACTCCCTCTCAGGCCCACACTGTCCCATCTGGAGCATTTACTCCCTCCATTTCTCCTAGCTCACTCTCTCTGCATCCTCCCCCCAAGACTCTGCACAGGCCACCTCAGCCCTCCAAGGTTTCTGTCTCTCTCTCTCTCTCTCTCTTTCTTTTTTTTTTTTTTTTTTTGCGGTGTGGGGGGCAGGTACTGGGGTTTGAGGGTTTGAGCTCAGGGCCTCACACTTGCTAGGCAGGCACTCTACCATTTGAATCACTCCACCTGGTTTCTGCCTCTTCTAACCAATTCTGTCATTCACCTGGTCTGATCATGGAAATCAGTTATGAGTGTTCAAAGGAAGTTCAGAGCTAACACAACAGATCACACCTGTAATCCTAACTACTCTGGAAGCAAACATGGGGGAGGAGGGAAAGGCAGATATCCGAGGATTGTTTTTCACAAGTCTCCATCTTAACCAATGGCTGGGCATGATGGCATGTGCCTGTCATCCCAGCTATAATGGGAAGCACAAGCAGGAGGATCACAGCTCAGGCTAGTCTGAGCATAAAGCAAAACTCTACCTCAAAAATAACCAACACATATACACACATGCAAAAATAAATAAATAAATAAAAAAACCAAATAAGAAAAAAAGCAGAAATAAAAGAAACAAATAAAAAAACACAAAAAGGGCTGGTGGAGTGGCTCAAGCAGTAGAGCACCTGCCTAGCAGCATGAGGCTCTGAGTAGTGCAAAAAAGAAACAAAAAAAGGAAGCCCAGGATGCTCAGGGTTAGATGATTTATCATTCATAAAGTTCTTAGAACTGCATCTAGCACATGTGTTTGCTATTCTTATCTATCCCCCAACAATTAATCCTAATGACCCAACTACAGCTCCTCCATCTTTAAAATTATTCTAAATCCTACATATAGATGGGTTTGATGGTACACATCTGTAATCCCAGCACTTGGGAGGTTGAGGCAGGAGAATCATAAATTCCAGGCCAGCCTGGGCTACATAATGAGACCCTGTCTCAAAAAAACAAAAACCAAACAAAAACAACAAAACCCCTAAATATTTAACAGGAACCTGCAAATAGATAAAGGTTCTTAGAAAAAGTGGGCTATGAGTTCTATCATGATAAGACCTAGGCTTACTGGTGGTACAAGTGGGAAAAGGAGGTAAGAGGCATATGAATTAATCCCAGGCCTTCACTTTGTAGGTAAGAATAAAAACAAACAAATATAAAGCATTTACTATGTGACTGTTCTCAGTGCTTCACTTCATTTATATTAAATATATTACCCCATTTAGTTCTCTAAATAACTCCATGAGGTAGACTACCTTCATTTTACAGATGAGTAGACTGAGGTAGACAGGTTAGATAACCTTAACCAAGGTCACACAGCTATTGAGCAGCTTAACAGGGATTCAAATCAGCTAAGGTTTAGTCTGGCTGAGAGCTCAGTTTTTGTTTGTTTTTTTTGGTGAAACTCAGGGTTTCATAAAGCAAGTACTCTACCACTTGAGTCACACCTCCAGTTCATTTTGCTGTGGTTATTTTGGAGATGGGGTCGTGAGAACTATTTGTCCGAGCTGGCTTCGAAACTCGATCCTCCCAAGTAGGTAGGATTACAGGAGTGAGTCACATGTGCCAGGTCTGAGACAGAGGTCTTGCTATGTAACCCAGGCTGGCTATGAACTCACAATCCTCCTGCCTCAGCCTCCCAAGTATTGGGATTACCGAACAACACTTAACCACCTAACAACACTGCTTCTAAGTACTGAGAGGCCCAGAGATGAGAAAAAACTGACCTGAGGTACCAGCTTGCTCTACCTGTTTGGTCCCCTTGATTGGTCAGGCTCTTAGTTTCCTGGAGGCTAGGAGCCTTCCTGCACCTTGTTCCACTTTCTACTTGCTCAGAGAAGGTCAAGGTGGGTAAAAGGCACTCACCTTGCAGGTCAGAGGTTAGCAGAGGGAGGGGGTCCTGGGGAAAGACAGCCTGAGTATGGGGAAGTGAGAGCAGCAGCAGCAGTAGCAGCAAGGGCATGAAGTGAGGGGCACGGGGCATCCTGTGTGGGGCGGCTCAGGCCCCAGGGTGTGCCCCCTCACCCATATGCTGGCCCTGAAAGAGGAGACAGAGAAAGGTGGGGGGAGGGACCCGTTCCCTCCACCCCTGCTGCACACAGGCTCCTCCCCAGGTCTATCCCCAGAAGACCTTGTGGGGTGGGGGAAAGGACCTTCTCTGCTGAACTGCCCCAGTCCCAGCCAGCTGCCACTGTCACTCAAGGCTCTTCCCTCTCCAACTGGCCCAAACTGGCTGGTGTGAGGCCTGGCAGCATGACCCCAGGTAAAGACGGGACATACCAGCTCCCCCTCCCAGCCTTCTCACTCAGCCTTTCCTCTCTCCTGACTGTGTCTGGGACATTCGGTAGGTGACACCTCCTGGCCCCCCTCATGCTAACCCTTTCTCAGCTATAATTAGACATTGAAGCCTTAAAATTATAAATAGTGACTCCTTGGCACAGGGAGGAGGCAGAGGGCACCTAGTCAACTCCTCCTCTTTCATAGACCCCCATGGCACCATGGGAGCAATGCAGGCACCGCACCCAAGCAGAGGCAGCTAGCTGTATGGCAGCCATGGTCTTCTCTAGGGCTGAGGAAGAACAGAATGAGGGGCAGACAGCCTAGGGGTCATTGTCCTGGTCCAAGTTCATACTTCAGGGGTCCTTCCCCACTGCTAGGGAAGAAGCTGGGCAGGAAGGGAGTTGGGGTTGGGGGGGAGGAGGGCTGTCTTAGCCAAAAATGAATCTGCATCAAAGCCAGATCAGAGGCTAAATTTAGCTCTGGCTGCAGCTGTCTCCTCGACCACTGGGCCCCCTCCCAGCCTCTCTAGCCCCCTATTCCCTCCCTGGCTCCTAAGAATCAGTGCATGAACTTGATGGGGGGGAGAGCAGACGCACCCCCTATGAGGAGCCAGGGATAGAAGGGACCGGTGAGGCGGAATGGCTGAACGTGCCCCTCTTTCCCTTTCTTCTCTCATTGGGCTGCCTCTGAAATTGAAATATAAATAATTCAATGACAGGCAATTGTAGCCCGAAGTCCAGGAAAAGATGGATATGGTGGAAGGGATCGTGAGACAAGTCTCATTCCCACTCATCAGCCTCCCCCCTGCCAGCTGACCCTGGCTGGACCCACAGTGGGAAGTGCACACCAGCTTCCTGCCTTTCCCTGAAATTGAAGTGAGGGGCTGAGGAGGCTCTGGAAATCAGGTCAGGAAGGGTAAGAATCCTTTCTTTTGTGAACAGATCACAACGAGCCTTAGTTCCCCATCCCATGTCCCTTAAAGGAAAAATCCCCAGGGTTAAGATCCAGCCCCTTCTATCTCCCCAGTAATTCCACTCTTGAAGCCAGGATCCAAGTGCCCCCCACCCCCAACCCAGCATCACTGGTGGGGAGGCACTGACGTCAGGTTGGGCCCAAGAGAGCTGGAGGAGGGGAGGGGGTGGGAACACTTAATGATGACCCCTTCCCCAGGGGCACAGCAGTCAGCTAGCTAACGACCCTCTGGTGTTGAAAGGCCGAGCCTTCCTCCCTCTCCCATCTGTGCTTCCGGATGCTGTGCTCCCAGGGTGAGAGAAAGGGACACAGCTTGTCTCCTATGTTCCCCTACTGCCCCCCCGCCCAAGTTGCCCTGGGCAACTGGTATCTTCACCCTGGAAACAACTTTGGTCTCTGGCAAGTGAGGAAAACAGCCAGACCCTCTCCCTGCTCCCTGGCGGCACCTGCTTGCATCCCCTACCCTTTCCTTACCTGGGGTGGCGAGTCCTGTGGGGGACTGAAGGGGATAGGATACCTCTGACCTGAGGAAAGAAGGGACAAAAGGAGGGAAGAGATTGAGTTAGACCTCCCTTACCGCATCTCTTAAAAGTAAATGTGAAAAATCAGGAAAAGTCTGTTGAGGCTAGTATAGGGGAGATGCTGGGTTGGGGGTGGGGTGGACTATGATGACATTTAATTTGGTTACAAAGGTACTGCCAGTTTCATGCTGGGGATGGCCCCTAGCCAGAAACTCCTGTAACTTCAGAGACAGCCTTGTGTAAAGGATGATTGGGAGAGTTTGTGGGGCAAGACGACCACTCCCATGTTAAAACCTTCATAATTCAACAGCCTTCTTAGCAAAAGCGCCCTAGCTAGGGACAATAGAGGCTAATTTGCATCTCATTTGCATGCTCTTCATTTCCAGGCAAAATGCTCTGATAGCAAGTACCCCCAGCCCCTTCCTTCATAAGAAAGCAAGCCCTTCCTCCCTTCCATCCAACCTCTCCTCACACCGCCCCCCACGCACATTTTAGACTGGATTAGTCCAGCCTCTAAAAACATTTGGTTGGCCTTTCTCTTGGCCCACTAGACGCAACTGTAATACATCTTTAAGAGGGCTTTCCATAGCTGCTTGGGGAAACAGCATCTGGATGGCTCCCACCCAACCCCTGGCCTGGGGTGAGGTTTACTGAGACCTGGAGGAATCCCAGGGAAAGACCTGGCCACTCTGTCTCCCCTTCTAGATCCTCTCCTTGCTGGGAGGAGGAAACAGCCCTTCTCTCTTCTCCTGGCGGGGCAGCCACCTCTGGGGAGTGGCCGAGGTCATAGTCACCGTCAAGCAGAGGTGGGGAAGGGATAGGGGAGGCCGGGCTGGGGACAATAGCAGGAAGCCTTCGGGCTGTTCGTCCGCCCCAGTCCACCTTCCTCAAGGGGGCTCGGAGGTGCGCCAAGGAGCCTAGCAGAACAGGCGCGTTCCCTTCTCAAGACCTTCCCCCCCCCACCACCCTTCGCTGGGCACCCACCCTCCCTCCAACCCAGCCCCCAACGAGCATAATCCAGGTGTCTAGAGCTTTGCGTGAGGTGGGCCTCGGGCCAGGGGCTCGACGTGTCTCCCCCTCACTGGATCCGGGCTCCGAGGAGGGGCGGGTAGCAGAGTCCGGGCCGGGACCGGGTCCCAGAGCCACGTTAGCGGGAGGAGGGGCTGGAGGGGCCTGCAGGCGCAGACCGAGTGGGGATGGGAGCTGGAGTAGGGGAGCGGAGGCGGGTCTCCCAGGCCAGGGAAACAGGGCCAGAGGCTGGGAACCGACGAGGGCGGGCCCTAGGCCGGCGCCGAGCGGGTCCGTGAGCCTGGATGCAACCGCTAGTTCTGCTCTCCTCCGTGGGAGACCAGTCTAATAAAGCCCCGGGGCGAATGGGGTGAAGGAAAGGGATGGGCGCTGGGACCGATGTTTCCTCGGGGCTCCATTCCCCGACTCCACTCAAACCAGTCCCTCAAGAGAGTGCTCAGACTCCTACTAGCACAAGGACGGAGATGCAGCCCTCACCAAAGTCCCGAACGACTCGTCCCCTTTCCCATCCCCGTAGGGATATCGAGAGACTTTGGTTCTCCGCGGGTCTCAGAGCCTTAGTTTCCCTCCCTGGGAGGCAAGGGACCAGCCTTTCCACCCTCCTCTGTAAATCCCCTTTAGTGCTCCTCAATCTAGCGAGACTTGACACCGACAGAGATCAGGGGGAAGAGGAGTCTAGACCCTGCGCATAACAGTGCAGTGACGGGGCTGGGCAATGTCCCCTCCTCCTCCGAGCACCCCAACTCCGCTGACCCTCTCTGTCAGACGGGCACACAGAGCGTTGGAACCCTCCCGGATCCCTCTAACACTTTGGGAGCGTGACCCCGGCCTGCGGCCCTCGGGGTCTCTCCCCACCTCCTTGCAGCCCCATCCCTGCCTAGGAGTACTTGCTCGGAGATCCGGGTCAGCAGGAGCGAGATCGCAGCTGGCGGCCGGCAGCTCCGCGCCGAGCAGAGTTCGCAATCCGTGGCTGGGGTTCTGGCAAGGTGCGATGAGCGTCCTTATTGGACGGTACTGGGATCTGGGCTCCGGGGCGCTGTGGGGTTGTGAGAACCCTAGGTCCGAGCGGCAGCCCCTACTCCCGCCGCGGATCCGCGGAGGAAAACAATGCGACCGCCCGGAGCTCTGGGCTCGGCCCCAGCCGCCCCGCCCGCCTCCTGGCCGGCCCCACCTCCAACCCGCCTCTTAGTCGCCACAACGAATCGCATCCTCAGAGGTCGGCCAGACACCGCCTTCCCGCCACCTCTCCGCCAATAGGACTGATCGGGGGCGGGGAGTCAGAAGCACAGTCCACCCAGAGGGCCGAACCGGGAGGGTGAGCTCGAGACCCGAGACAGGCGCGAGATGGAGAGATCCACGGACAGTCGCTGAGACTCGGACACAGGAAGACACACACACAGAGAAACAGAGATTGGCTGTCAGAGGAGGGGCCCTGGGGAGAAATGTCAGGGAGGACGGAAGAGAAGCTGAGAGAAAAGAGACAGGAAACCCGGGGGCCTCCGCTGGGCTGGGCTGTCAGAGCCTGCGCGATCCTCCCTCGCTTCCCCTCAGTGCCTTTAGCGACCCTGCTCCCTAGGGAGTCTCCTGACTCTCTCCTCGACTCGGCCCCAACCCTCCGTTCCTCCTGTTTATTCTTTTACCTCTGTCTCCTGTGTATCCCCTTGTGCCGCCTCCGGTTCATCCTGACCCCCAAAAAAGGAGGCCTAGTATGCACTTGGGGGCTTGAGGCCTGGGAAAGGAAAGGAAAGCGTCCTCAGGAGGTTTTTTTGTCCCCATCATCTCCTCCTCTCTTACATCTACAATCAAAGCAGGATGGGCTTCGGGCCACCATGCCGGGAACTAAGGAGCCAGGAAGCTAGGGTGCTTCCAGTCAGGCAGCTGGTTGATGAAAGAGAACAGATGAGAGGGCAAAAGCCAAAAGAGAGATGTGGAGACAAGACTGATTCAGGGAAACACAGGAAGACGAGCCATAGGTTTAGTGGTGCCCTACCTTTCCTTAGAGGGTCCTAGACATCTCTCCAAATAGCAAAAGTGCTCCTTCTCCATCCCCACCCTCCATAAAGACCCTTTGATTTGGGGAGTGTCAGTGAGGAGGAAGAATAAGGCTAGTTCAGACAGTACTGTTTGGCTGCCACCTTAGTATTGCTTCCTAGGCTTCCTCCCTGCGTGGGTCTGGGACAAAAGACATTCTCAAAATTCCCAGGAAAGTAGGTGGCCTGGGAGACATTGGCATTCTCTGGTAGTGTTAGCTGAGTGGGCACGTCCACCCACATCTTGGTCACTGTATTAGAGGAAAGTAGGGACAAGGAGTTATCATTTCTACAACAGCCTTAACTGGATAGGGATCATCATAAACTGGGCTAAACCCCACAGTGAGTGAGCAACACACACACACACTGAAAGACAGACATAGAGATTTAAGGTCAGGTGAAGGGTGGGGGCAGGGGGGAGAAATGACCCAAGCCTTGTATGCACATATGAATAATAAAAGAAAAAAAAAAAAGGTCAGGTGAACTAGTAAGAAAAAACAGAACCTGAAACAAAGGAACAACACCTACACAAGATTAGCTGCTGAGGAACCCAAGCAATTTGGCAGATGGTTGAATTAGTCAGGGGTTGTTTAAAAGGCTAGAAAGAAGTTTTGTGGGGATTTTTTTTTTTTTTTAGTTTTGGTGATACTAGGGGTTTGAACTCAGGGCTTCACACTTGCTAGGCGGAAGCTCTACCACTTGAGCCACTCTGCCAGCACTAGAAAGAAATTTTGAGAAAGCTCCCTCAAAATTTAGAGATACTCAGAGATTAAAGTAAATGTGCCTCCCAATAAATAAATAAATAAGTTTCCTCAGCTTCTAACATAGAGCTTACATACTCAAATATGTACTTATTGAACAGATTAGTAAATAAGGGTGAAAGGGCAAGTCATTTAAAGTGTTAAGACATTGGGGGGGAGGGGGTGGGGGAAGGGACCAGGGGGCAGAAATGACCCAAACAATGTATGCACATGTGAATAAATAAATAATTAAAAAAAAATAAAGTCTTAAGACATTAGATAGATGAACCCCCAGCACAATAATAAATAAATAAATAAAAGACATTGTATCTATTGTATCCTTTAGCTGATACATTTGTACTTTTCTGGGGAGTTTAAATTGAGAGTGAAAAGCATGGCAGATGAGCAAGAAATCATGTACAAACTGGAAAACATTAAAGAGATCAGGAGTCAGGCACCAGTGACTCATGCCTGTAATCCTAGATACTCAGGAGGCAGATATCAGGAAGATCACAAGTTGAAGCCAGCCCCAGAGAAATAGTTCTTGAGACCCTATCTTGGAAATACTCAACACAAAAGAAAGCTGGAGGAGTGGCTCAAGTGGTAGAATGCCTGCTTGGTAAGCATGAGGCCCTGAGTTCAAACCTCAGTACAATACACACCCCCCAAAAAAAAAGAGATCAGGAGCAAGATCCTGCAGATGGAGAAGATCAAGGCCCATCTGAAGGCTGAGTTTGAGCACTTGAGTCAGTGGAGAGGCACTGGAAGGGATACAAGCAGGAGATGGACTCCAGCGACAGGAGACAATGGCCAAGGTAGAGGAACTCCACCTGATCTATGCTGACATTGCTGTGATGGATCACTATCACACAATCTGTGAACAACCTAAACAAGCCGCTACATGATGAGTGGAAGTCACTAAGGGAACATGTGTGCCCTGCACATGACTCTGGGCCTGCAGAGCCCTTCTGACTTGTGTGAAGAGGAGGAGAAGCTCTTAGATTACTTTGAGAAGAAGAAAGCAGAATAGCAGAAGGAGTCTTGAGTCCCCCTCTCTACCATGCTGGGGAATGGCTCAAGTGGTAGAGTACTTGCATGTGCAAGGCTGTGAGTTCAAACACCAATACTGCAAAAAAGAAAAGAAAGAAAAGAATTCCCCCACCCTAATCCCTGACCACTGCAACTGATGCTGCCCAGCAACTCCAAGTGGCCAAGAAGCTGGTAGAGAGCCTGCCTAGCAAGTGCAAGGCCCTGAGTTCAACACCAACCCCCCAACCCCCAGAAAAAAAGTGACCAAGAAGCAGAACACTCAGTGGGCTGTCACTTTCAGGCAGCAGCCTCCACCTATGAAGGCTGTTTGTCATATCACCAGCAAATTCACTGAATTAATCTATATGTCCTCTTCTTGATTTTTTTTCTTTTATTTGTTTATTTTTATTTATTTATTTGTGGTACTGGGACTTTAACTCCGGGCCTTCATCTTGAATCACTCCACCAGCCCTATTTTTTTCACGAACTATTTGCCCAGGCTAGCTTCGAACCACAATCTTCCTATTTTCTGCCTCCTGAATAGCTAGGATTATAGTGGTGAACCACTGGCACCCAGCTTGATTTTGTTTTTTACTATACTGTGGTTTGAACTCAGGGCTTTGTGCTTGCTAGACAAGCATTCCACCAGTTGAGCCATTCCCCCAGCATGTGTGCCCTCTTTGTGAAGCCAAGAGTAAGTTTAGGAGCCCCAAAACACACAAACAGAAGCAGGATGAATGAAGAGAGAGAATGTGTAAATCTCTGTTGTCATAAGCCCTCCCCTTAGCCAGAGTTATTGATGCCCTGATGTGACAAAAAAAAAAAAAAAAAATCCTTCCTGACCTCCACCAAGTCTCCTATTTATAATATAATTAAAGCACAACACCTCTGTCACTTCGCTCTTATTTCTATTTCTGGTTTAGGAAGAGATGCAGGTCAGGTGCTAATGACTGTGTCTGATGATTTCCTTCTCTTCTACTCACATTTCAACCACAGCCCTTGTTTGGAGTTGAGGGCATGGCAAAAGGCCCTGCCAGATGTGACTTTGACTCTTGTGCCTGACTCCTGGAGTCCAAGCAGCTGTAAGATTTGGGACCTGGAGAAGGCTCATATCTTGTTTTAGGAAAAGGTTCCAATATT